CTATGTCGCTGGACTCCCATGTAGTCAACTGTGGTTCGCGTCCCGGACCCGGTGGCTTAAAACTCACGCCGGGCGCGTGTGCGTGCGTGCCCAAGATCCCGAGAGGAGAATGGAGGAGAAGGGATTGCGGCGTGACCATCCCCCCTGGGGGGTGATTTCTCGCTTTCTGTCTCTCTGTCTCTCTCTGTCTGTCTGGCGAGCGCACGCGCCCTACAGTGAAATTTTCTAAAAAAAAAAAAAGACTATTGGAATAAAAAATATATTGTGGTACATCCATACAACAATATAGTTGTTATTGTGGTACATCCATACAATAATATAATTGTTATGAATATAAATAGTATTTATCAATAAAAAAGGGAGGGACTATTGATACAGTCAGTGACTTAGGCAGATCTCAAGGGAGTTTAGCTCAATGAAAAAAAAACACACACACAATGGTCTCAAAAGGTTGCATACTGTGTGCTTCCATTTAAAAACATTTGTAAAACAGCGTATTTGTAATAAAGGAGAAAAGACTCATAGTTGCCAGGGATGAAGGGGTGTCATGAGGGAGATCTCTGAGGGGATGGGCGAGTTCTGTACATTGAATGTAGTGTGAGTGATAAAACTGTTCATATATTTTATAGTAATGTCCTCTTTGGACTCTGATGTGCTGTAGTTATGTAAGATGCCACCAATGGCAAACTGGGTAACAAGTACATAGAATCTCTCTGCACTATTTTCACAAACCTCCTGTGAATTTCTAATTATTTCAACGTTTCCTTTCTTTTAAAGAAATGAACTGTTAATAACACACAGTAATATGGATGAATTTCAAAATAATTGGGCTTAATAAAAGAAGCCATTAAGAAAAATAAAAAGTACCCAAGAAAAGACGAATTGAACTACATTAAAACTAAAAGCTTTTGGAGGTTGGCAGGTGGCATGGTGGTTAAGGGTGCTGGACTCCCCCATGGCCGACTGTGATTCAAGTCCCAGACCTGGCAACTTTCTTTCTTACTTTCTCTCTCTCTGTTCCTCTCTGGTCACATTAAAAAAATAAAAATAAAAAAATAAATAAATGTTAAATAAGTCTTTAAAAAACCAAAAACTAAAACCTTTTATGGTGCAAATGTACTATCAAGAAAGTCTGTAGTGGCCAACCTTGTAGTGCAGTGGATTGAGCCCTGTGCAGGGAGAGCAGGATCTCATACGACTGCAGTTCAAATCCTACACTTTCCATTTGAAAAATACATCAGGTATGTGTGCGTGTATGCCCAAAATCTGACAGTATGACAAAATGGAGGAAAAAGGATTATAATGTGATCACACCCCACAGGGTGTTCTCTCTCCCTGGCAAGGGCATGTACCCTTGGACAAAATGAAAAAGTCAAAAGGCAGTCCAGATGATGTGAGAAAGTATTTACAAATCATATATCTAATAAGGGATTTGTATCTAGACTATGTAAAGGACTTTTACAACCCGTGTAGTAGAAAGACAAACCACCGAACTGAAAAGTGAGCAAAGACTTGAATGACCATTTCTTCCAAGAAAATGTACAAATGGCCAATAGGCACATTTAAAACATGCTTGCCATCACTAGCCATATGGAAATGCAAATTGGAAATCACAGTGGCGTGCTAGTTTCCCTAGGATGGCGATAATTATAAAGACAATAAGAAGCGTGGGTGAGAATGTGGAGACATCGCAACTCTTGTCTAATTCCGGTGGAGGGTCAGTTGGTGAAGTTACTTTGGGAGACACTTTGGCCGTTTCCCAGACATATTATTACCATATGACCTAATAATTCCACTCACAGGTATGTACTCAAAAGAGTTGAAAATATATTATCACCAAAACTTGCACATGAGTGTGGATAGTAGTGTTATCTATACTAGCCCGAAAGCAGGAACAAACCAATGGACTATCCATACAATGGGCTATTAGTCAACGATAAAAAGGAGTGACATACCCACGCATGCTACAATGTGGATGAACCCTGAAAACAGTAAAGAGGCTAGTCACAGAAGGTTGTGTGACTTTAATTCATGTGAAATGCCTAAAATATGCGAATCTATAGGGAAATAGAGTAGATTAGGTATTGCTTAGGGATAGAGGATGAGGGGTGGGGAATGATTGGTTCTGACTGTGGGGTTTCTTTTGGGGGAGAAAGAAAATAATCTACACTTAGATTGTAGTAATCATGCAATATACTAAAAATCATGAATTTCATACTTTAAGTGGATGTACTTTATGGTGTATGAATAACATCTTAATAAAGATGTTTACAAAAAGTATGTATGGTATGATTCCATGTATATCAAGTTCTAGAAAATCCAAGTTCATCTGTGGTGACAGAGAAGAGCTGAGCGTCACTCAGGGATGAGAGGGTGGAGAGCAGGTAAGGGCCAGAAGGTGAGATTACAAAGAGGGCATGGCACACCTTTTTGGAGTGACAGATCCATTAGCTATCCTGATTGTGATGGTAGTTTTATGGGTATGCACACATATATAAAAATTTAGTAGATAACTCACTTTACATTCGGCAGTTGGGTGGATATCAACCTTTTTTTTTTTTTTTTTTTTTTTTAATTTTTAGCAAAAGCCAGAGCAAAAGCATGAAGTATTCTAACTTGACAAAAATTTGTTAGGTACTAATGCAATGTTAGGTCCTAGGGATACAGTGACAAGAAAAAAAACAAGTCTAGTCTCTAAGTATCTTGTAGTCTGTCAGGAAGCAGACAGAGAGATGCAGGTAATTGCAAAATGGTATAATACAAGCCTTATAGAAAAATGCCTGGTGAGTCATGGTTACCTTCATGGTGACAGAGGGAGGACAAAGGACGTTGGGAAATGTTCCTGGAAGCAGTGGCTCTTGAGCTCAACATTCAAGGGCAAATGGGAGTTAGAGATAGAAAGGGGGGTTTTGTGGTGACGTGATGGTCCTCCTTGGTGACCTTGAAGTAGCGGAGCAGTAGTGCGTAGTAGTAACACACGGTACACAGTTGTAACATCTCAGAGAGGACGTATTCTCATCCTAGCAGCTATGCTTTTCTCCGCAGGAGCCACTTCACAGTGAAGCGGGTTGTTTTAGTAACAATAAGTATCAAAGATAGAACAGTAGGTACAAAGCAAGGCTATAACGTCCTTCCTTGCCCTCTGCTGGCTTGCTGTTGTTTAATGATCTGCAATTATATATCCAAGGTCTGTCCTTCTCGCTGCATTGTTTGCTCTGTGAGGGAGGGCCAGGGCTGAGTGTCTACTTTACCATCCTGCCCCTGGCAGGTAGCATAGTGCTTGGCACCTAGCAGAGTTCAGACAGAGGGTGTTCACTCTAGGCTTGGATTTGGACCCGTGTGAGCACAGAGGCAAACATTGCTCTGGTAGCCTCAGGCATGGCTCAAAAGTTTTGTGATAAGAAGCATAAAGCAAAACAGTACAGCTGTTTCCCTCCTTCAGCCCCACTACTGTCAGTGTTCTGGCTCTGGTCCTGGTCATGCCAGCTCCCATGCACCCAACCCTGCCTCCATACCTCTGTTCTAGTGGCCTCTTTTAGGAGACTCTTTCTTTGGGTCCCTTCCTCAAAGGTTCCTGGTGTGAGGTTCTGAGAAAAGTCAGGAGAACCTGCACAGGAGGAAGGCCGCTCTGACCATTGCCTGAGCAGCATGGATATTCTGCGGCCAGGCTCAGGGACCACTCATGTGTTATTTTTTCTCCTTCTCGCCTCTAGCACTTCTCTACGCCACCATCTTTGGGAACGTGACAACCATTTTTCAACAGATGTACGCCAACACCAACAGGTACCATGAGATGCTCAACAGTGTCCGGGACTTCCTGAAGCTCTACCAGGTGCCAAAAGGGTTGAGTGAGCGAGTCATGGATTATATTGTGTCCACCTGGTCCATGTCCAGAGGCATCGACACCGAGAAGGTAAGGAGGGCCCGGAGCTCAGGCGAATCACTTGTCTCTCAGTTCTCCCTAGCAGAACTGAGCTCTTCTCGGGCAGTGGTTCACAGTGGTTCACAGTGTTTAGAATTCACCCGAGTAATTCTGGATTCCCAGGTCCTGCTTGCAGGGGTTTTGGTTTTCAGATCACCCTGACTCCAAGGCCAGCAATGAGGAGCTATTATTTAAGAACTGGAAAGGTAGAGTATGTCTCCTAAAGAAGAGGAACTGGAAATCTAACCATTTAGGGCAGCATTTTCCAAACTAGGATGATGATATAACTAGGGCCACAACTGGAATGGAGTCATCAATATAAATCACTGATTTTCCTTTTATGCCAGGCTCCAAGAGGGCAATGTTGCTGAGGTTGTCTTTATTCAGACTTTCAATATCTCGTTTACCATGATTTTTTCACATGAACTTGACCTTTAAAAAAATATTGTATTATGCTATGATTTATTTACTTACTGAGGTTTTTTTGTTTGTTTGTTTTTGACATCCCTTAAATTGTGCACCCAAAGCTGTTGCCTCACTCATTTCACCATCTTGCCCTTGATAAGAATCCCATGAAGTGATAATTAAAAGCAAATTTCCAGCCTCCATCCCAGATCTATGGAATGAGAACCTGGGGGAAGTGTGTGGGGGAGGGGGAGTTTTAGCAAGAACCAGATAATTCCATTCATCAGAAAAGTCCAGAAAACACCAATCAAGAGCTTACACCTTAATCATCCATTGACTTCACTAGAGTATCTACTAGGCACCTCTCCAGGCAACTGTTTTCCCACCTGTAAAATGGACAAGGTGATAAATCTCTTGTGTTCTGTAGGAGTTGTGTTTCTCTAGACACACTTCAATAAAGTGAGGAAAAGGTGGTTTGTTGGGAAAAAATAGAGAAAAGATACAGTGGACTTTCTATTACTCATTTGTGAATTATCTTTCTTTCTTTTTTTTTTTTTCCTTCTTTTTTTGGCCAATGAGGAACACGTCTTTATTCCTGTAAAAAAAAAAAAATCCTGTAAAAAAAAATTTAGGATCGAGAACTCTTGGAAAGCATATTTGTATATTCCTATAAGGAAGGAATATCTGGTTAATTTTTCTCTACTTTTCAGTCTTCAACCCCATTTCCTCTCTTTATTACCAATCTATAAATACTTAGGGAATACTGATTCCTTTCACTATTAGAATGAGGAAAACAAAAAAAATTACATTATTGCAAAAATCCTTAATGACTCCTTCAGAGCCAAGTTCAACTGACTTTGGAATTAGCCGTCCATGTTTCTAGTCTTCCTCCATTGGAGTAGTCAGTGGAGAGTTGAAAGTTTAAAAAGAAAAATTGAACCGATCCTCAACTTAAAAGGCCCTTGGTTTTGTTGACTATCTGCCATGCTAACACCAAAACCACAGCACCTGCTTCCGTTTCTTGAACATGCAAATATTTCTTCTGCTTCTCCGTGTGCCTTGCCCCGCCCTAGTGCTTCATTTAGGCTTCACAAGGACCCTGGGAAGGAGTGGCTATTCTCACTTTTGAAGAAATGAAATTGGACAAGAGGCCCAATTCATTTTCCTAATTGCTCGTATAACACTTTTTTTTTTTTTTTTTTTTTTTTAATTTTTAGCAAAAGCCAGAGCAAAAGCATGAAGTATTCTAACTTGACAAAAATTTGTTAGGTACTAATGCAATGTTAGGTCCTAGGGATACAGTGACAAGAAAAAAAACAAGTCTAGTCTCTAAGTATCTTGTAGTCTGTCAGGAAGCAGACAGAGAGATGCAGGTAATTGCAAAATGGTATAATACAAGCCTTATAGAAAAATGCCTGGTGAGTCATGGTTACCTTCATGGTGACAGAGGGAGGACAAAGGACGTTGGGAAATGTTCCTGGAAGCAGTGGCTCTTGAGCTCAACATTCAAGGGCAAATGGGAGTTAGAGATAGAAAGGGGGGTTTTGTGGTGACGTGATGGTCCTCCTTGGTGACCTTGAAGTAGCGGAGCAGTAGTGCGTAGTAGTAACACACGGTACACAGTTGTAACATCTCAGAGAGGACGTATTCTCATCCTAGCAGCTATGCTTTTCTCCGCAGGAGCCACTTCACAGTGAAGCGGGTTGTTTTAGTAACAATAAGTATCAAAGATAGAACAGTAGGTACAAAGCAAGGCTATAACATCCTTCCTTGCCCTCTGCTGGCTTGCTGTTGTTTAATGATCTGCAATTATATATCCAAGGTCTGTCCTTCTCGCTGCATTGTTTGCTCTGTGAGGGAGGGCCAGGGCTGAGTGTCTACTTTACCATCCTGCCCCTGGCAGGTAGCATAGTGCTTGGCACCTAGCAGAGTTCAGACAGAGGGTGTTCACTCTAGGCTTGGATTTGGACCCGTGTGAGCACAGAGGCAAACATTGCTCTGGTAGCCTCAGGCATGGCTCAAAAGTTTTGTGATAAGAAGCATAAAGCAAAACAGTACAGCTGTTTCCCTCCTTCAGCCCCACTACTGTCAGTGTTCTGGCTCTGGTCCTGGTCATGCCAGCTCCCATGCACCCAACCCTGCCTCCATACCTCTGTTCTAGTGGCCTCTTTTAGGAGACTCTTTCTTTGGGTCCCTTCCTCAAAGGTTCCTGGTGTGAGGTTCTGAGAAAAGTCAGGAGAACCTGCACAGGAGGAAGGCCGCTCTGACCATTGCCTGAGCAGCATGGATATTCTGCGGCCAGGCTCAGGGACCACTCATGTGTTATTTTTTCTCCTTCTCGCCTCTAGCACTTCTCTACGCCACCATCTTTGGGAACGTGACAACCATTTTTCAACAGATGTACGCCAACACCAACAGGTACCATGAGATGCTCAACAGTGTCCGGGACTTCCTGAAGCTCTACCAGGTGCCAAAAGGGTTGAGTGAGCGAGTCATGGATTATATTGTGTCCACCTGGTCCATGTCCAGAGGCATCGACACCGAGAAGGTAAGGAGGGCCCGGAGCTCAGGCGAATCACTTGTCTCTCAGTTCTCCCTAGCAGAACTGAGCTCTTCTCGGGCAGTGGTTCACAGTGGTTCACAGTGTTTAGAATTCACCCGAGTAATTCTGGATTCCCAGGTCCTGCTTGCAGGGGTTTTGGTTTTCAGATCACCCTGACTCCAAGGCCAGCAATGAGGAGCTATTATTTAAGAACTGGAAAGGTAGAGTATGTCTCCTAAAGAAGAGGAACTGGAAATCTAACCATTTAGGGCAGCATTTTCCAAACTAGGATGATGATATAACTAGGGCCACAACTGGAATGGAGTCATCAATATAAATCACTGATTTTCCTTTTATGCCAGGCTCCAAGAGGGCAATGTTGCTGAGGTTGTCTTTATTCAGACTTTCAATATCTCGTTTACCATGATTTTTTCACATGAACTTGACCTTTAAAAAAATATTGTATTATGCTATGATTTATTTACTTACTGAGGTTTTTTTGTTTGTTTGTTTTTGACATCCCTTAAATTGTGCACCCAAAGCTGTTGCCTCACTCATTTCACCATCTTGCCCTTGATAAGAATCCCATGAAGTGATAATTAAAAGCAAATTTCCAGCCTCCATCCCAGATCTATGGAATGAGAACCTGGGGGAAGTGTGTGGGGGAGGGGGAGTTTTAGCAAGAACCAGATAATTCCATTCATCAGAAAAGTCCAGAAAACACCAATCAAGAGCTTACACCTTAATCATCCATTGACTTCACTAGAGTATCTACTAGGCACCTCTCCAGGCAACTGTTTTCCCACCTGTAAAATGGACAAGGTGATAAATCTCTTGTGTTCTGTAGGAGTTGTGTTTCTCTAGACACACTTCAATAAAGTGAGGAAAAGGTGGTTTGTTGGGAAAAAATAGAGAAAAGATACAGTGGACTTTCTATTACTCATTTGTGAATTATCTTTCTTTCTTTTTTTTTTTTTCCTTCTTTTTTTGGCCAATGAGGAACACGTCTTTATTCCTGTAAAAAAAAAAAAATCCTGTAAAAAAAAATTTAGGATCGAGAACTCTTGGAAAGCATATTTGTATATTCCTATAAGGAAGGAATATCTGGTTAATTTTTCTCTACTTTTCAGTCTTCAACCCCATTTCCTCTCTTTATTACCAATCTATAAATACTTAGGGAATACTGATTCCTTTCACTATTAGAATGAGGAAAACAAAAAAAATTACATTATTGCAAAAATCCTTAATGACTCCTTCAGAGCCAAGTTCAACTGACTTTGGAATTAGCCGTCCATGTTTCTAGTCTTCCTCCATTGGAGTAGTCAGTGGAGAGTTGAAAGTTTAAAAAGAAAAATTGAACCGATCCTCAACTTAAAAGGCCCTTGGTTTTGTTGACTATCTGCCATGCTAACACCAAAACCACAGCACCTGCTTCCGTTTCTTGAACATGCAAATATTTCTTCTGCTTCTCCGTGTGCCTTGCCCCGCCCTAGTGCTTCATTTAGGCTTCACAAGGACCCTGGGAAGGAGTGGCTATTCTCACTTTTGAAGAAATGAAATTGGACAAGAGGCCCAATTCATTTTCCTAATTGCTCTCAGCCACAGAACAAAGAATGGCAATGCCAGGGTTTGAACCCAGTTTTGTCTAACTTCAAAGATTGCACTTTTCCTACTATTACTTTTTTCCTTCAATATAAAACAAGTACTGGAAGGAAGAAAAATGGATCCAAATGGAGTCGTTCTGACTTCTCAGACAGACAGAGCCTCAGTGGGAGCTGGACTGAGCCCCTGGCTTTGCCAACCACCTGCCCCCACTGCGCCTGTTGTTTCTGCTCCACTCTCAACAATGCCTGTGGGTTCTGTGGGTTCCTGGCAGCTGCTGGAGCAGAAAGGAACTTTGATCTCTCTGCCCTGGGGCTCCTTTTCCCAGGCACCCAGGATGCTTTTGTAAATCTGGTTGTCTGGAGAGAAGCTCTTCCTGGCCCTCACTACAGGGCTGGGCTGGGCGGCTGCCCGTGGGAGACAGCCTAGTCAGCATTGGCCTGCTCCTTCCTCTTCCTGCTGTCTCACTTTCCTGGAGGGTCTTGGGATTTGCCCCAGGTTCTGGTCCAGAAGGAAGAAGACTAGCCACCAACTCAATTGTAGCTGACACCTGCTTGGGAGAGAGCCAGCCCTGTGGTCTTGTGCCTCTCCCTGGCTTCCTCTCCCCTCCATTCTAGTTCAGAAAGGTCATTGATAGCCAGGGAGCCCGGAGGTACAGGAGGCAGTGCTGGGATCCTCTGGTCTTCCCAGTTATTAGCTGTGAGTACATCACTTGTCTTCTTGAACTCCAGTTTTAATTGTCTGTAATGTGTGGAAGCTAGTGATCTTTAGGGCTACTTGACCTCTACAGCTCATTTGGCTATGACCTTCCAGACTTCAGAGCCTTCCTCAGATGACCTTAAAGAGAGTGGTACTGAACAAGGACTCTGCCCAGCCACTGGCTGTCAGAATGTTGCTCTCTGCCTCGGTCAGTCCGCCATCCCCCTCCCAGAGAGCAGGCTTGCTTTCTGGTCCCTGCGGCAACTGTGTGATGACCTCCAAGATGCAGCTCACTTGCCTGGAGGTAGCAGGCACTGCAGGGGGACTTTCCACACAATGGCTCAGAGAACCCTCAGAAGATTCCATGTGCAGGTCTGAAGATGAAGACTTGAGAGAGGAGCCAAGTATGGCTTCAAGTTCACACACTTAGAGAGTGGGGTTGGAAGTTGAATCCAGATCTGCCAGACCTGAGTCCCCTTCTCTGAACTCTCCTGCCCAGCCTGAGGGAGGCCCTGGGACTCTTCACAATGACATCTGCCTGTGGCCTTTGAGGCTCTCACAGTATAGCATGGATGATTCTCCTCAGAACCAAGCAGTAGGGAAGGCAGCCCAGGAAAGCTATGGGGTCTCAGAGTTGAGACCTTCCCTCAGAGAGAAGAGCTCTGGACACCACAGTCACCCTGAGTGGGGCCAGGAGTTGAGAAGAATGGAGATGTGACGAGGGGTGGGGCTCTGAGGGTCTGCAGTCTCTCCACCCCGGGTTCTCTCATCTTCTCACCCCATAGTCTCCAAGGGCTCTGAACACAGAATCCATGAATACAACTTTGTCTCCATACCAAGGCCTTGCTCATTAGCAGCTGCTGCCAGCAAACCCAGCCCAGGGGAAGCCTGCTATTTAAAGGTGAACTCACTTGCTGAATAAATCTTGGTCCTGAGCTATAGGACTCAGTTTTGATGTGACGTGTGAGTCCTGCCCCCTCACTTTGATTGAATTGGAAAGAAGAGGACCCAGATTAAATTTGCAGTTCCTCAGGGATCTTGTTTTTGATGAGCCTTTGGGAGGGCGGTGCCAGTGAGCACTCTGCTCGACCCTGGGAGTCCGAATGTTTCTCTTGGCCTCAGTCAGTCCTCCTCCCCACTCTGGAGTGCATGCTCACTTTTCTGGACCCCCAGAATAAGAAGATGCACAGAGAGTGGAAACTGGTGTTTATCAAGTCCTCTATTGGGTCAAATACTGTCCCAGGCAGGATGCTGGTGAGTGTAATTTCATCTAATCCTGTTAGGTCAGTGTTAGCTACCTATATCTTTTATTCCTTCTTTTTTTTTTTTTGCCATAGGGCATGTGTGCTCACTGGTGAGAGATAGAGACAGTAAGAAGGAAAGTGAGAAACCCTCAGGGGGATGACCATGCCACAAACCCTTCTCCTCCATTCTCCTTTCAGAATTTTGGGCATGCACACACTTCCGCCCAGCGTGTTTTTCAAGCCTCCAGGTTCAGGACTTGAACCGCACATTCGGCCATGTGGGATGCAGTGGGCAGGGATTTTAGTGAAGCCATCAAGGGCAAGGCAAGATTTGAACTTTTTTTTGGTAATTATTATTATTATTATAAAGAATAAAGGTTTATTTAGTTCGTTTTTGGAGGTCCAAGATCAAGGGGTTCTATCTGGTGAGGATCTTCTTGTTGGAATTCTCTGCAGTGTTCCAAGATAACACAGGGCAAAGCAGAGTAAGAGTGTTTTTGTGTTTTTTTCTTATTTGCCAGAGAGCACGGGTGCTCACCAGAGAGAGAGGGAGAAAGCATCCCCAGTGGGGTGTGGTCACACTATTATCCCTCCTCTTGTATTCCTCCATCCTGTTGGGATTTTAGGCATGTATACACAAGTGCTGGGTGTGTTTTTCAAGCTGTCTGGGCAGGGATGAGAACTGTGGTCAGCTCTATGGAGACAACTTCCAATGCCCAGCTTTTTCTTTTAATTATTTTTATTTAACTTTACTTATTTGCTTATTTTAGTGACAGAGAGAGGGAGAAAGAAAGTGAGAAAGCAAGCCGCCAGGTCTGGAACTCATACTGCGGTTGACCATGTGGGAATCCAGCGCCCTTAACCACCACGCCACTTGCCGGCCCCACCAATGCCTAGCTTTTAACCAGTGCCCTCCAGGGCTGGCCCTGAGCTGGGTTTTGAAGGAGGCTGAAGAACTTCTAAATTTGTGGGTGAGCTCCAGAGGCAGAGGCAAACAACTTGTGTTCAGGTGAGACGCAAGGGCAGGAAAGCACCAGTACCTGGAAGAAAAATGAAGACTGAGCAGTTGATTTTATGTTCCCAGCTTTGTTCATGGGCTGTCAAGGGAGAAATTATTACAGATGCTCCTTGACTCATAATGGGGTTGTGTCCAAATATACCCACCACAATATGAAAATATCATAAGTTAAAAATGCATTTAATACACAGCCTACTAAACATCATGGCCTAGCCTAGCCTACCTTAAATGTGCTTGGAACACTTACAGTAGCCTGTAGCTAGACAAAATTTTCTAACCCAAAGCCCATTTTTATAATAAAGGTTTTATATGAATTTTTCATCAAAATTCAAAATCTGAGGTACAGTTTCTACTGAATGCGCATTGCATTTGTACAATTATAAAGTTAAAAATTGTACGTCGAAACGTAAGTTGGGGGCCATCCGTATTTTAGAACCATTCCTGCCTTCTCTGGACAAGTTCACTTGAAAATGTCCTGTTGTGTTACTTAATGCTTGCTATGTAAGGGGCCATGCAATTTGTTCTGTTTTGTTTTGTTTTTGTTTGTTTGTTTGTTTTTGGTTGGTTGGTTGGTTTGCAAAACTTTACTCCAGGGAGCTATTTCTCTCTCTACAAAACCCTTCATTTCTTCAAAAGATAAGACCTGTATAGTTTTCATTTTGCTCGAGTTCTGGTGTGCAGTGAGTCAAATTGCAAGCCCATTTGTCCAGGGTGGCTGTCTATACCTCAGGAATTGGTTAGGCTCTAACTAGGCTCTGATGTCAACCACCTAGTTTGGGATCCTGCCTCTGCTCTGTCCTGGCAGTGCAGCTTTGGGTGATTTATTTATCTTCCTCGTGCCTCAGCCTCCTTACATGTAAGATGACGTAACAACAGCATTTACATCACAGGGGCTATGTGGCGATTCAATGGGCAAATGCAGGGCCGGCAGGTGGCATGGAGGTTGAGGCACTGGACTCCCCCATGACTGACCATGGTTCATGTCCTGGACCTGGCAGTTTTGTTCCTCACTTTCTCTCTCTCTTTCTCTCTTTCTGCCTCTCTCTGGTCAAATCGGAAAAAAAAAAAAAAAGACAATAAAATTAAATAATTCTTTTAAAAAAATTAGCAAATGAACATAACATTGTAAAATGTAAAGGCACAGCCCTCCCTGACTTTCCTTACCCTCCTTTTCTCTGTCGTTCTCCTCAGCACTTACCAGTAAATTTTCTTTCACTTGTGATTTATCTTCTCCCACTAGATGGTAAGCTACACCAGGGCAGAGCTTTTTGTCTATTTTTTTCACTGCTATATCCTTAGAGCCTATAACGGTGCCCTTCTGGCCTTCCATAAGGGGCTTGATAAGTGTGGACAGAACGAATGGGTAATTCTGAAGTGCTCAGCAACACCTGGCATACAGTCAGTGCTGGGTGACTGGTACTTTGTAGCTCTTTCTAAATAACACTGCATATTCAGTCCATTAGCAGAACACGTCAGCTCTACCTGCAAAATGTATTCTGAATTTCGCCACTTCTCACTGGCTTCACTGCCCCATCCCAAAGTTCCCCTCACCTCCCACATGGACAAGCTGCAGGAGTGATCGTCTGGATTCCCAGGATCCACTCTGGCCGCGTGATAGTCAGGGCCCTCTGACAATACTTTGAAGCTGTGATGATCTTCTTAAAGTATTATTTGGGTCATGCCATTCTCCTGCTCAAGGATCCCCTAGTGTTTCCTTGTCACAATTAGAATAACCCTTATCGCAGTGTAAAAGCATCTAGTGTGTGGTGTTTTCTCTGAATCTCATCTCCCACCCCTTTCCCTTCATTCACATTGGCTGCTGCTCAGGCTTCCTCACAACCGTTGTGTTTGCAATTTGGTTGGAATGTTCTTTCACCTGGTTCACTCTGACCTGTGATGTATGTGTCAGTTTAAATGTCACCAACAACCTAAAGATGTCCCATGTACTCCCAGCCCTGACTCGCGGGCCCCTGACCTGAACATGTAGCACAGATGTTTTTAGACACTACCTGTCTCTCCCACAGGAATGTAAGCTTAACAGGGCAAGGACTTGGCTACAGAAGTTCAGTGTGGCCTGGTGGGCCTTGCTGCTGCCTCTGGGTGCTGAGGGAAGTGGGCTAGAGGCCAGTGAGGACCCTCACACGGTTTCTTCCTCTGCTCCCCACCCAGGTTCTGCAGATCTGCCCCAAGGACATGAGAGCTGACATTTGTGTGCATCTGAACCGCAAGGTGTTCAAGGAACACCCAGCCTTCCGGCTAGCCAGTGATGGCTGCCTGCGGGCTCTGGCCATGGAGTTCCAGACGGTACACTGTGCCCCAGGAGACCTCATCTACCACGCAGGAGAGAGTGTTGACAGCCTCTGCTTTGTGGTTTCTGGCTCCCTGGAGGTGATCCAGGATGACGAAGTGGTGGCCATTCTAGGTAGGTGTTGCCTTTGCTGGATGCCTAGGCTGTGCCTTTACATTTTACAATGTTATGTTCATTTGCTAATTTTTTAAAAGAATTATTTAATTTATTGTCTTTTTTTTTTTTTTTTTTTTTTTTTTTTTTTTTTGTCAATGTTGAATACTGAAGCTAATTCATATTGTACAGTACGTTAGTCCAGGAAGTTGCCAGGCACTGTTGGCCTATCTTCTGGGTAGCTCACTGCCAGTGTCCCCTTCTGCCAGAGATTACCCCACAGAGCAGGGCTAATTGCTAGCACCCATGTGCCTATCTGACAAGCAAACATTCGAGTGACAATTTTGTGCCAGTCTGTTTGAGGCACTTGGATTATTTCAATGACAGAAAAATGAGTTTTATCCTCAAGGAGCTCCCAGCCTGGTGGATGAGATGAACACACGAGTAGACATTTGCAATACAGTGGAAGGGGCATCTAACCCAGTGTTCAAGGGAGAAGGCTTCCTGGAAGGGCCGACACCTGAACCAAACCTAAAACTTGAGAATGGATTAGCACAGAAAAGAGGAGGAATAAAGGAGTACAATGAGAGGATGGGATAGCTTATGTAAAACCTCTGCAAAGAGGGAGAGAAACATGGTTTGTTTGGGGAGCTGCAAGTTATTGGTGTGGCTAGGGTGCACAGAACTAGAGGGGCCATGATGAGGAAGGAGGCTAGGGAGGGTGCTAAGCCCTAGGTGGATCATGGCAGCCTTTGGGAGCTACGTTAAGGAACTTGGATTTTATTTGGGGGAGTTGATGAAAAGCTGTAAACAGGAGAGGCAGGATCGGATTGTATTTTAGAGAGATGACAGTAATTGCAGGTTGGAGAGTAGACTGGAGGGGAAAGGCTGGAATAGAAAGACTAGGTTAGAGACACATCATCTAGGGGCAAGTTGATGGGGACCTGAATTAGTGTTATGGTGGGTGGATGGAGAAAAACAGATGGAGTTGAGATATTTAAGAAGTAGAATCAATAGAACCTGAGGATGACAACTTGCTGTGGAGAGAGAGGGAGACATCAACCAAGATTTGGGGATTTCTCACATGGGGAACAGAGAAGCTGGTACAGCTTATACAATGATAGGGAATGTGGGAAGGGGAGCAGGGACATGGAGGGCATGTTGGTATTTGGGATATTGAGCCTCAGTGGCTTTTGAGAAATTCATCTGATTGCCTGAGGTAGCTACAGAACTGTTCTTTGTTGGGGGCAAGCCAACATAATAACGATAATATCCATCATTTACTGTCACCTCCTCTGGTCTAAGCATTACATACAGATTGTACTTGCAGTCACCTTGTGAAATGGTTTTATGATCCCCATTTTGTAAATGAACAGTTGAAGTTCAGAGAACTTAAGGAAATTTCTTCATGGCTGCTGAGGGCATGGAGCCAGCATCGTGGAGTCCTTGCAACTCCAAAAACTCTGCCCTGACCCATTTTGTAGTATTGCATCCTAACGGTAATTCCTGTGGGGTGCAGCCCCGTGAAGTTACCAGGCACTGCTAGACACTATAGACCTGAGTTTTTATCTTTTATACACAATTTCTCAGGGGATTGAGGTGAGGAGAGATTAAGTTACAATTAGATTCAAGCTACATAGAGACATTGTATTATTAAACAACAACAATGACAGCAACAAGAAACAACCCACACCTTGTTGTGCTGGACTTTGCAGTACACTATATGTGCTTCCTTCTTGTTCCTCTGGCCCTAGGCCAACTTGCCCTCTTGATTACCGTTTGTTCAGATTAACCCATGTATGAGTTTTCTTTCTTCAGGATTTGGTAGGTGGTCAGCATTTGCTAGAGGGAGACTGGGATAGACTGGGTGGAAGACGGTGTGGAACATGTTTGCTAAAGTAAGTGCCTGGGTTCCTTAATATCCATTGAGTTCTGCAGAGAACAGACCAGAGTTGGTCTGTTCATTGCCTCCTCATCAGAAGTGAGATTTGACTGTTTAAGGAACAGGACATGTGAAGGTCAAAGCCATTACTGTAGTACCTCTGAAGGGGAAGAGCATTTATTTCTGCATTAAATACTCGTCAGTATCCTTAATACAGACAACTTCCTATTGCTAATAGCCATATTTGCCTGGCTGAGAATAAGAGTAACTAGCAACTAATGAGCAATGCTTTTAATTAGTATTTGACTTAACCCATTGGTGTAGGATATCTTTCAGCCATCTCCCCACCGAGACAGTTAGCCTGGTGCCCAGCCCCATCTCCCTACATTCTCAGGTTCAGGGCATCCTTGGTGCCCCATGCAGCCCCACTGTATTGTTAGGCATTGGTTTGGACATCCAGACTCAGGCATGAAGGTAGGACAGAGCTGAAGAGAGGTGAGAAAGGAGAGAGCTATTTCCCAGCCCCTTCTCATTTTCCTTCAGCCTGGGCTACTTCTGCAGAAGTAACCACGGCTTGATTCATTGCTGACTTGGTCAACTGACTACTTCTCTAAATCCATCCCTCTGTCTTGGGCCCTCCTGGCTATCTTGCCTACTCCAGTTAGCAATGTGAATAGGATCTCTGAAATAGCTCAGCAGCATTTTCCAAATAATTGTTACCTTCAAGCTGTCCAGACTAGATAAAGCATCTCCAATGCATCCCCAGGAGCCAAACTGAGTCAAAACAGTAGGTCCAAGCTCAATATCCTAAATACCTTTTCATACTAAGGAACTCTTGTTCTATAGAAAGACAAAACAAATCCTTTCAGTTAGCCTCACCTCTGAGCCTGTAATCCAAGTTATTTGTCCCCTAGAAACTTAAGTTTATAGTTTTGTTGTTATTGGTGTGTGTGTGTGTGTGTGTTTGTTTTGTTTTGTTTTTGTTTTTTGTTTGTTTTCCAATTGGAGTATCTTTTTCTCAATGAACTGAAATCAGTTTATTCTTGCAAAGGGGTTTAGGCACCTAGTAGGTTGTAGAACTGTTGGCTCATGAGAAAAGTCACAACATGTTTTTCTATGCAAAAGTGTGTCATGACTTTTCTGACGACCCACTAGATCTCTATTGCCCTTTGAGGCCCTCCAGTTCAATTCAATGTTTAACGAATGTTTATTGAATACCTCCTACCTGTCAGCCCAGTCCTAGGGACAGGCATAGAGTAATGGACCAGGCCTACGAGGAGCTGCTCCAAGTGGAGGAGATTGACATTAAAAGACAGCCATTGCTCTGCAGAATGAGAGTTACCACAAAGAGAATGCGGCTGTTTTCAGAGCATCATTGAACGAGCAATTACTGAGCTGCTACTGTATATCCAGTGCTCCAAAGAAAATACCCAGAGAACCCTCAGTGATCATAAGCTAACTTTAGGGGTTTTAGAAAAAAGGCCAGGACTCCTATATCTCATTCTTCTGCTCTCTGGTCTCTTATTAGCAGCTCATTCATTTACATTCTGCTAATTTGTTTCCTCTTTCTAGTTCTAACATTCCACCCCCATTCTCTGTTTAATTTTAGCATAGACTCCAAGAATAAGAAAAACGATCAATACGCATAATAGAATGTGTTTAACATGTGTTAAAAATAGAACCATTTCTAATGAAAATCTTTTAAAATAGTTTTTCAAACTTTCATGCTTGCAACCTACCATATGAAATCTATATTTCATTGCAAATGAACACATACACATACTTGGATGCACAGTTATACATAAAATTCAGGACTTCTCTTATTATATGAAATGTAGCCTAGGATTTTTCTAAAAGATTTTATCCTCTTCCATTTAAAAAATAATTGACCATCATGATTTGCTAAATTGCTTTGTTGACCTGCTGGCAGCCTAAAACATGGTCCCACAAATCCAGGCAATCTCTTTCTTAGATAGAAAGCCACGCTGTCCCCTGAGGACAGAGAACATACTAGAAATCTATAATCTTCTTTTCCTCTGCTGTTCTCTCTGCTTTGATCTTGACATGACATCCCTTCAGTCTCCTTTTAGAATTCTTTTAGAAATCACTGAACAGTCTCTCAAGTTTGGTTTTTTGGATCCTTGAGAAAAATTTGAGCTTTTGCCATGTGCATTTTTGTACTCAGTTTTTTTTTTTAAAGGTTTTTCCCATAGGACATATGAGCTTGCCAGAGAGAGATAGAGAAAGTGATAAATCATACCCCAGGGGCTGGGGGGGGGGGGATGACCGATCACAGTCCCTTCTCTTGCATTCTCCTCTCAGGATTTCGGGCACTTGTGCACACGCATCTGGCATAATTTTCAAGCTGCCAGGTCCAGGACTCAAACCGTTGTTGGCCATGCATGAGTCCAGCACCTTTACCACTATGCCACCTGCTGACCTTCATTTGATTTTTAAATTACTTTTCTTCTCATTTTTCATAGATACCAGAATGAAGAGACATAGGGACCGTTTGCTCCTGCCCAAGTGGTGCCTAGAGCCTCTGCATATTAGTTGCTTTCTTGTCATTCTGTGTCACTTGACCAATAGGGAAGAGCCACAGATCAGCAACAGGGCTGCGCTTACAGGTGTTTCTAACTTAGAAATGCAATATTTTTATCATCTCCTTTCACTGTGACTTAGCGTCCTTGTAATGGGTTTCATATTTGAATAATTACTTAGTGTTGTAATCTTGGATCATCTTGTGTCTTGTCTTGTTTTTTATTCTGCTGGGCAAGACAGAAGTGTTCTAGCCAGATTGCACTGCGTACTGGAAAGAGCCTGGACCAGGAGCTAGAGATGTAACTGCAGCTCTGGTTCCGCACAGACTCCGTGCATGAATTACCACTTACTAATGAAGAATCTTTCAAGGCCTTCATGTTTCTGCTAAGCCCATCACACTACATCAATTGTGTATTTACTCCTCTGGGAGCCCGAGACCATGAGACCCTTTGATTTCATCTCTCTGGCATCTAGCACACAGTCCAGCATATACAAGATACCAGGGTCTGTTTACTGAGTGAAATGAAACTGAAAGGCAAGTAGGAGTTGGGCTGCGAACAGTTCCAGAGAAAGGGTCTGGACTTTATCTTAGAATAAG